TTTCTTTCCAAATAAAATAAATAAAACAATTAACGGATAGAAATAAGAAATTCTTAACTTGAGAATTAAAGTTAGGAGAGGAAATAAAGTCCAGTAATTGAACTAAATTTGGTCTGAATAGAAAAAACAAATATTAGGCAGGACATTAGAAAAGATACTAAAAGAATAATCACATTCGAAAAAAAGATGATCATGATTCTCAAAAGTATTAAAACAAATAATACAAGAAGTTGAGAAACTAATATTCCTCTAAATCAGGATATCCAAAGTTTTAAGCCCTTTTAAAAGAGCCATCCAAGCATAACAAGAATATCTCAAGGCATACCTCTTATGCCAAATCATCTTAAACCACTCACCTTTATTAGAATCTTCAAAACAATCTTTATAGAACATATTAAATGAAGGAAGTAAAACCCCATTCCAGTAATGCTCGAAACTTGAGTATCTAAGATGGGAACATTAGATAAAATAGAACTAAGGGTCGGGCTTAAAGAAGAAGCCAAATTCTAGCTTTTATCAGTAATCAAATTCCCTAGATGTATATTAAGAGAATCATAACCCACAGAAACCCTATTTAAAGAAACTAATTCCTGTATCGATTTTTCAAAAAACCATGGATCCCAAAATAAAGAATGAGATCTATTAGGAAAGACGTTACAACGAATATTTCCTTTAATATTTCTAGCAACCAAAGTGATATTCTTCTAGAACATGGAAACCGGCTTCTGCCAAGGTTTCAAAAAACAGAAATACTTAAATTTAACCCAAATAGCCAAAGGAACAATATCATTAATAATTCTTTAGATAAGAGAACAATTATTCAGCAAAACTGAGAGCATCAAGATAAAAAATGCCTAGACCTCCAACCTCTTTAGGCTTACAAACTTTATTTCAAGCAATAATATGAATTTTGCTACTAGTAGGATCACCATGAAAAAGGAAACTAGAGCATACTTTCTAATAAATTTAAAACAATACTTAGGTAAAGTAATACTTCTGATCCAATATAAAATAACATTAGAAATAGTGAAATTTAGAAATTGAACTCTCCTAGCAAAAGAGAGTAATTTAGCTTTCCAACCGGCCAACAAAATTGTAATATTGCTAAATAAAGGTTGAAAATCAACAACTTTCAATTTCTTACTAGAGAGGGGCAAAACCGAAATATTTAATAGCATTATAAGTAGTTCTAATGCCAAGAATGAACCTAATAGTATCTTTTAAAGGACAATCTTTAGAAATAATAAGAGAGCTTTTAACAGGATTAACTAGTAAGCTAGAGGCAGCCGTAAAATAGTCCACGATATTATTAAGTTTTCTCGCATTCTCCAAGGTAGCTTTCCCGAAAATAAGAACATCATCCGCATAAAGAAGATGAGAAATAGTATTATCACCATCTTTAATCCCCTCAAAGCCGTTATTTTGAGAATCCTCCTCCAAAATATTAGATAAAGCATCCATAATAATATAAAAAAGATAAGGAGAAAGCAGACATCCTTACCGAATACTCGAAGTAGAATTAAAAAAAAACATGCATAAAACTATTAAGAATAATAGAAAAATGCACATCTTCTATACAACCTTTAACCTAAGTAATGAAAATATTTGTGAAACCTTTTTGAATCATCCTAGAGATTAAGAAATCTCTAGAAACCTTATCAAAAGCCTTATGAATGTCAATTTTGGCACAAAAAAACTTTTCTCTGAGACAATGATTAAAATCTCTAAGAAGCGCAATAGCAAGAATAATATTGTTCAAAGATATCCTTTTCTTAATAAACCCAGATTGGCTTTTATGTATAATAAAAGGTATCACACGCTGCATTCTGTTAGCAAGAATTTTAGCCACAAATTTATAAAAAAAAACATTGAATAAAGAAATGGGCCTAAAATCCAAAACATTAGAAGCATTATTCATTTTTGGGAATAAGAGAAATGACAGACACCTTAGCAGCTTTAGGCATAAAACCAGAATTGAAATAATAAAGAACACCTTATATAAAGTTGAACCCACAACCTCCCAAGTATACTTAAGAAATTCAAATGTGAAGCCATTTGGACCCGGTGCAGAGTTCTTAGGATTTTTAAAATAACCTTTCTAATTTCAGCAATTGAAACCGGGCTAACCAAAGCAGCTTTTAAATTATCTAGAATAGTATTACTAACCAATAAGCTGAAAGAAGAAGAATTAGTCGGAACAGGAGAATTAAAAATCAATTTAAAATGATTAACACAAGAATTAGCAATTTCAATAGGATCCGTAATAATCCCTTGACTAGAAGAAATATCATGAATCTTATTATAGTTCTGCATGCATTTGATTTTGGAATAAAGAAATCCTAGATCATCTTCTTCATGAGTCATCCATTTTTGCTTAGCCCTCTGAGAAACCCAAGAAGACCAAAGTGACATTTGATCTTTATAAATAGCATTAATATTAATAAGAGCTGAATTGAGATTCTCATTCAACGAATCCTAAAAATAAGACTAGAAATATCACTTTGCTGCTTCTTAATATTGTCAATAACAGAGGAAAGATGCTTAGAAGAAGCCCAAACTTGCTTCTTAATTAAAACTTTAAGAAGCCTAAGCTTAGTATAAAGATTATTAATAGGAGTTCCAACAGACGCTTTAGAAAAAATATCAATAAGCAATTCCCATAAGCTATCATAAATGCACCAGTAATTTTTAAACAAAAATCTATAATTAGAAGAAGAACTGTTATTGCTACAAACAATTAAAGGCGAATGATCCAAGCAAAGAGGGCTATCCACAATATAAAATGAAGAAGGAAAAGCATTCAACCAAGAGTTATTAACAAAAACCCTATCTAATTTAATATAAATAGGGTTCTTACTCTACTGATTGAACCAGGTATAAAAATTACCTACATTCGAAAGCTCTAAAAGCCCACAATTAAAAATACAATGATTGAAGGCTCCCGAATTATTTAGTAGAAATAGTTCCACCACCAGATTTTTCATTAGAAAAATGGCAGTAATTAAAATCTCCCAGCAAAATCTATGGATCTGTAATGTTAGCAGAAAGATGAAGAATATCATTCCAAAGTTTTATTCTATATGTAGCAGAATTAAAAGCATAGATAGCCGTGATAAAAAAGGAATTGGAGCCAAAATTAATAACCCCATGTATAACCTGATTAGAAATAAGAATCTTATTGAATGAAATACAAGAAGAATTCTACTTTAACCAAATTCTTCCAACACCAGAAATATTAAAATTGTTACAACTACCTTCTTGCTGAAAAATTCTGTGTCTAGCATCAAACCAAGAATTACCAATATGATCAATATTAATTTTAGCCTCAAGAATGCAGCAAAAATTAGCTTTAAACTTGTTAACAAGATTAGCTTAAGCCCTAACTTTATCTAAACAGTTAAAGCCTCTCACATTCCAGGAAATAATGTTTGACAAAGGCATTAATGTTTAATAGTTAAATTGTTGGCCTTCCTGGCAACTTTTGATCTAGTAGATTTACTAGTAGATATAACAATTTTATTACCAGATTGATCTGGAATAGTATTATCCGATGAAGAGATCTACATTAAAACATTGTTCATTGAAGCTTCATTATTGAGAGAATCCAACACCTGAAACTTATTATAAGAATCAGAAATATCTAAAGAAGATTTTCACATAGAAGGATCATTAGAAAAACCCAAAGTATTATTTAAATTGAGATTAGTGATAATCTCATTAGTAGATAGATTTAAATTGGGTAAAATCTCATTAGCAGAAGATAAAGCCAATTTCTCAGAATTTGCAACCTAAATTACCGTTTCCTCCAACGTTTCAGAAATAGGATTTCAAATTTCCTGAGAACTACAAGAAGCTAAAACAGTATCAGAATGTATAAACTCATTTAAAAAAACCTATTTTGAGTTTAATAAAGAATCATAAAGAATAATCGTATCAGAATTATTAGAAGGATTTTGATCTTTCTTTTGAAAAAAACTTCTGAGGTTGTTTAAAAGAAGAAGATCTTACTGAACCTGAAGCAACATTCCAAACCTTCTGATTTTACTTCTTCCCCTAATTGGTTTATGAAAGCCTTCCTGTTGCTTCCGAACCGATTTATTACTAGGCACCTTCAATTGCTACAGTGGCTGAGTCAGACACAACAGACGGATGAACAATTGAACCACAACCTTGATACGGAGTAGGCTTCCAATCGTAAACAACTTTTAGAGAAAATATGTTACCAGCAATAGAGATATTAACTTCATCTGAAAGGGTAGAATCCTTAGAAACTATAATACAAACCTTAGCAAAAATGAGTCTCGTTTGCTCTGCACTTAAAGAATCAACTGCAAATAGTAACCCCAATCAAACTAGCAATCTTAGAAATGCCTTCCGGTGTCCAGCAAACTAAAGGTAAATCTAGAAATTTAACCCATAAAGGTATGGACGTAAACTCTTCACGCTTAGGTCGAAAAAGAGGCGACCATTTCTAGATAACAAAAGGTTTACAAAAAAAAAAAAAAAAAAAAAAATCAAGTTCCACCAGACCAAACAAGTTCATACTCTTCCGGACAAGTAAACTTCATAAAAAAAAATAACCTCGTTCAAAGTAACAAAGTTAAAACAACCTTTCAAATTCCAGACCTTATGCATAACATATTTTAAAGCTTCAAAATAAGGCCTCTTACCCAGTGAATATCCAACAAGCGTGAGGCCCCATTTAGCCGAACCAACAGAGATATCACCTTCAGAGAACAAAGAAAGATAATCAGAAGAAGGTAAAAAAGAAACAGAGAAAGGTTGGGTTGAAGATTTACCAGAAGTCAATACTCCATTCCATGCTTTAATTCCTGACGGAAAAACATCCGAAATCATAGAATAATTCAGATCTGATTTTAGAGGAGAAAATCCAGATAAAAAATCCCTAAAAACAACCAAATAAAATAACAACTAATAACAAAATGCAGAAACCCTGAAAGATACACCACCAAAAAGGTGGAAGAGAATAAAAAAGAAAAACAAGTTAACAGAACCGAAGAACCCTCTTCCAAAAAAAAAAATCTCATAAGTAACTCGAGGAACATCAAACAAGAACCAAGAGGGAATCCGTTTCCAACAGGAAACCTGCTTTCGCTTCCTCCCAAACGCCGCGCTTCGTTTCGTGTCATCAATCTATTTCTCCATCCTCACACTACCGGCACACTACCGGCATTCTCGACGGGCACACTCCCCGCCACGTTTTTTATTCCTTCCGCCAACATATCTTACTTCTCCAGGTCGAATGCCTTATTCCATCTTCAACCCCCTTAAATCGAACCATGAGCTCTCTTGTAGCAGGTAGACATCAGGCCTTCCAGCAACGGCTGAATACGCTAACAGGAGAATCGGAGTGGATCGTCATCAATGAAAAAGACGATGATGATGTTGACGAGACAGCGCTTTCTGCTTCTCGCTCCTTCCTTTCCGTCACCTCCTACCTCGACATGCTCAATGACTCTCGCCGTAATGTTGCTTTCCGGCTAGCTATCGAGAAAACCATCACGGATCCCTGCCACGTACTAGATATTGGGTGCGTATTCCACTTAAAAAAAAATAAACTTGAGATGTTGTCGATTGTTTTGTTGAACATTTTGCTGATTCGGCTCTCGCCCATATCTGCTTTGATAATTTTAACCTGAGATTTTTTTGGGGCCTGGTTGAAGTGCTGGAACGGGCTTGTTGTCAATGATGGCAGCTCGAGCAATGATGGAGAGTGCGGCACGAGGCGAGGCGAAGGTTTCCGCGTGCGAATCGTATCTACCGATGGGGAAACTAATGCGCAAAATTCTTCGGGCTAATGGAATGGAGAGCATGGTGAAGTTGTTTCATAAGCGCTCCGATGAGCTTCAAGTTGGAGTAGACTTGGACTGTCGTGCTTCTGTGCTGGTAAGCCATGGCCAAGTCTTTTTTTTGCTTTTTTTTTTAATTGCTGAAGTCGCGCTTTGCAACCAATGCAAATTATATAATTCTAACATCCTTTTTTTTGCTTTTCCTAGAATTTTAGTTTCCTATAATGGGAAATTTACATACATACCACTTTATATAATTTGCATTGGTTGCAAAGCGCGACTTCAGCAATTAAAAAAAAAAAGGAATTTTAACATAGGCTTCTACTTTAATTTTTGAGATGTTAAATAAAATTCAGTAAGGTCATTTTGTGGGATGTGATTTATTAAGGGGGCGGAAACAAACTTTCATTTAAGAGAGAGAGAGGGGGGGGGGGTGGATTTTCATATAAATAGACTAGTATTTAAAAGATAAAATGAGGGCAAATATTTCATTATAATAGATAAATTGAAAATTATTACAAGCTTTTTTGCATTTTTTGATAATCTTACATTACAACTTCATTGTGAATTAAATTAAACATATATTTTTTCAATGTAAGGCACCAGATAGTTGTTGAACCAATCATCACTTATCCTATTATGCAATCGATATTTGATAATCCTCATGGCAGAAAATGCTCTCTTCATTGTAGCAGCAACAAATGATATGTTAATGCTAAAGTAACAAGTCTGTAAGCAAGATGATACACACTATCCTTCTTGACCTTAACAATTTCCTTTGCAAGATCACTAATACTGCTTAGAGAGGAGAACTTATCACTAGAATGCATATCAATAATATAAGTTGATAATTGAATTTTAACAGCAACAAGCTCAATTATAGAAAAATCACTTGGATATAACTCTGTTAGACATATTAATTTCCTCTCATCATAAGCAAGAAAAAAATTACTTGGATTTAAGCATTTCACACAAATAAGGAACTCAGTACTATATTCAAAAAAATGATTATTTAACTCTTCATTGTTATTAGTAAGAAAATAAAATAACTCTAAATAATTACCTTTGTTATATGAGTTAAATGCCTCATTGTGACAACAAAATAATAAACCTTATCTTAGAAGAAATCTATCACAATCAATAGTTGCTCATATAGATAGACTAATGTTTAAAAAAAAAATGAGGACATAATTCAAAGTAAAAACTTATATTTCATTATAATAGATAAATAAAAAATTATTACAAGCTTATTAATTTATTTTGTATTTTTTGATAATGTTAGATTATGACTTCATTGGGAGTTAAATTAAACATATCTTTTTTTAATGTAAGGTACCGGACAGTCGTTGAGCCAATCATCATTCATCTTATTATGCAATCAATATTTGATAATCCTCATAGCAGAAAATGCTCTCTTCACTGTAGCAGCAACAAATGGTAAAATTAATTCTGAAGTAATAAGTCTGTAAGCAAGATGATACATACTATCCTTCTTGACCCTAACCATTTCCTTTGCAAGATCAGTAATACTGCTTAGAGAGGAGAGCTTATCAATAGTATGCATATCAATAATATAAGTTGATAACTAATTTGTATGAGCCATAAGCTCAATTGTAGAAAAATCACTTGGATAAAACTTTGCTAAACATATTAATTTTCTCCCATCATAAGCAAGAAAAGAATTACTTGGGTTTAAGCATGTCACATAAATAAGCAACTCTGTACTAGATTCAGAAAATCGATTATTTAACCCTTCATTGTGATCAACAAGAAATAAAATCACTCTAAATAATTACCTTTGTTATCTGAGTTAATTGCCTCATTGTGACAACGAAATGACAAACCTTATCTTAGAGAAATCTATCACAATCAACAACTGCTCACAATAGGACCCGATATTCTTTTTTATTCCTATCATTCTTATAGAGCCATAAATTAGGAACACTTTTATTTTAAGATTTATTAAATATTCACATTTATGTCTTGCTTTGTTGTGAACAATACTATGTTCCCTAACATGAGCTAATAATTTTTCTTTTTTCTTCTAATTTTTTAATCCTTCACCAACGAATAAATTACCATCATCTTGACTTATATTTGTATGCTCTTGAGGGTTGAATAGATGATGCAATCAAAAATTTGGGAAGGGCCCCAAAGCGAACCAAACTTTCGACGAGCTACTCGTTGTTCGGTTTGATTAAAGCTCGTTTGCGATCGTTTAATTAACTAAACAAACAAACTTGAACAATATTTTAAATACTCGATTCTTAAATAAACAAACTTGAACACTAATATGTTCGACTCATTTATGTTCGCGAACAACATCATTTGAAGTTCGTGATCAAGCTGACATTAAGCTCGATAAGAAGCTCGATTCGTGTTTGATTTTGAACTCGTGAATAAGCCGATAAAAATAATTAATATTTCACTATAGAATTAATAAATATAAATAATAATTGCCTTTGCTACATAGACAATTGTTTTTATTATAAATGTGCATGTTCATAGATATGTTCAAGAACGTGTTCGTTTGATAGTTAAAAAAATTCGTTAAATATGTTTGCGAACAAGCTCGATAAACACTAAACGAACGCACATGAACTGAACATGAACCGAACATGAACACTTCTTAATTTAAATGAACCAAACATGAACACAAACGCTAAAGCTCGAACAAACATGAACCAAACTTGAACAAGCTGATATTAAATGGACACAAACATGAACACTCACATACTCGGCTCGGCTCAGTTCGTTTGCAGCCTATCTGATAACAAATTAATGTAATAAAAAATTTGGGAGAGGGCCCCAAATTTTTGATCACAAAAGAAGATTCTTTCTAGGATCTAAAAAATTACAAGAACTAATAAAAATTAGACAAATTAGAAAAAAACAAACTTTTTATAAAAGACTATTATAACTTGGACACTTACAAATGACTCAAACAAGACACCTTACAAACAACACTTACAATCTTCAAGACCAAACTTATATAATAAAAACCTAAACTTGCTTTGCCTTGAGAAGAAGGATACAGGTGGAATGAAACTTGTGAAGAGACGAAAGAGGTTAGAAGCCCGAGAAGAAAGAGGAGAAGCTCGCAAGCCTTCCTAGAAGAAGAGAAGAAGAAGTGGACAAAGCTCTCAATCTTTTCCAAAAACCCTCAGGTTTTCTTACTCCAAAAATAACATTTTTAACTCTCATTCCCTCTCAAAACATCTCATATTTATAGGCAAGAGAGGAGAAACCAAACAGCCCCTAAAAACCTTCATATTCTTAATTTAATGAGGGAAATGAAAAGCCAACAACCACCTTATAATATTCCCCAATTCTACACAGGAAACAAAGCGTCAAAGCCACGAAAAAGCCCCACAACAGCCACGGGAAAACAGCCCAGGCGGAACCCGAAGAGGCAGCGCAAGAACCAGGCACGGGAAAATCATCCAGCATAGAAAACTAATAGTACAGGACAAACAAAAGTTCGTCTAATACGATTATACATCGTCCAATACGAATATTTCAAATAAAACATCAGATCGTACAGGACAAACAAAAGTTCGTCCAGAGAGTTCTCGGGTGGTTCATATAGTACAATACATGATCGTGCAGTATAATATGTAATTGATACAAATCCGATTTGATTCCTTAATCTTCAGACTTAAATTAGACAACATTAATTAAAGATTGTACATTACAAAAAAGTTTGTACAGTACTAGCAGTTCAATTTTCAAATTTCAAATTTGCCTATTTTAAATAAGTAGGATTCGATGGCGGAGTTTTTGAAATTAGCTAATCGTCCTGTACGATGTGCTGCTCGTACAGTATGATTAGTTATAACCAAATTTAAGTTCTCTCATTTAATTAAACAACAACATCAAGCCTTTGCCCCACTATGTGTGGTCAGCTACATGAATCCTTTTAATTAATTTCTATTTGAACAGATAATACAAGACAATATTGATCGTAAAGTACGATTAATAGAAAAATTTTAAAATTTATTTTTCATCCCCTTTGTATGTGTGCATGATTACTAAGCCAACATACATCTACGTATAGACATTAACTCAAGAAATATAAAATTATACTCTTTCAATAAGTAACTGACCAACACAACATGTTGTTCAACTTTGATTCTTTGACGGTGCTATGTATATGCTGAATTGAAATGTTAGTCGTGTGCAAGAAAAATATATACAATGTATAAAGCAGGAAAAAATAAAATAAACATCCAATAATGTTTGTAATCATCAAAACATAAGGTCGGGTTCCCTGAATTGCAACAACATTTGGGTAATGTTATTTAAGAGCATTGTAGATGTTCAAAATTATGGCTTTATATAGGAATCAAATTTATAGTCATACGATGAAGACATAAGAGATAGTAAAAGAGCATGCGTATAAAAATTATATCAATATTAGAGATTAAATTAATTTCATGATAAAAATATCTTTTTTGAAAGCAATTTTTTGCATTAAAATAATTAATTTGAAAGTATTGAGAGTTGATAATGAACCTTCATATTGTTAGTTACATTTCAAAAAAGTTTTATTGTAGGTATAACAATATTAGTTGATGTTGATTGGGCTGGATCTGTAACATAATATAAACCTACATCCGGTTATTGCTCATTTATATCGAGAAACTTAGTTATAAGGAGAAGCAAAAATTAGTTTGTGGTAGTTTGGAGTAGTGTTGAAGCAGTATTTTGGGCCATGGCCTAGGAATTGTGAAGGCATGTGGCTTAAACATTTTCTTGAAGATTTAAAATTTTCCTTTATGGAACGTATGATAGTTAGGTGAGACAAACAAGCTACTATTAGCAATTTAGCTTCCTAAGAACCCAATCTGTGATGATCGAATTAAGTATATTGAAATTGATAGACACTTTATAAAGAAGAAACTGATCGAAGAATCATCGAAATGAATTACACTTCAACAAAACTTCAAACTTCTAATATCTTTACTAAAACTCTTGATTAATCACAAGTAGACAATCATACTTTCAAGTTAGGAATGTGTTAGACCGTCCACTGGACCGGTCCAGCCGGTCCAGGCGGGACCGGTTCACGGGAGAATATCGCGAACAGGCGGAGAAAGCAGCCGCCTGGGCGGAAGCCGCGCGTGACGCACGCCTTGCGGGACAGTTTTTGGAAGGTTTTTGAATGGATTTTAGGAGGGAAATTGATTGTAGGGATTGTTTAGGAAATTCCTTTTGAATTGTATGCATTAAATAATAGATTTTCCTAGGTTTTGAGTATCTTGAATTTGGCTGAAATTTGAGATCTCGTAGATTTAGGTTTTCTTTGGGCTCTAGCGACGTCTAGAGATTTGGGAGAGATCGATCCTCCTCTCGAATTGAGGATCAATTGTATCTTGCTATTTTATTCATCCTCTAGTGAAATACAAGCTTTTCTTTGAGTTTTCTCTCAGATTTCCTTGTGGTGTTGGTGTTTTTCTGCTGTAAACAGCAGATTTATGCTGTTTTCCTGCTGTGGACAGCAGTTCTGCTGTTGAATGTTCGCCGATTTTGGTTAGGTTACTTGCGAACGCAAGTGTTTCCTATCAAATTGGTATCAGAGCAGCGATTTGGGACCATCGGCGGCTGAAAACTTGAAATTTCAGCGGGTTTTTGGCATTCGGGGGAAGATTTCTTGTGATTCGTAGAAAGAAAAATGGCTGGAAAGAAGATCGAAGTTCTAGAGGGCGAATTTGGCCAATTAAAAACAGATTTGGAGGAAAAATTCCTTGAAATCACCGCCAACAATGAAAGGTTGGAAGGGAGGTTCGCGGCGATGGAAGAGATGATGAAGAAATTACTTGAGATGAAGACGAATCCGACGGCGTCGGAAGCAAGAGAGACTGTCGGCGACCAGGGCGTAGGAGGAAATCCAAACCCGCTTCGGGGGAGGAGGAATCCGGCAGTAGAGATCCTTGAGGGAGAGGACGACATGCCACCTCTAGAGCCACTTTCTAGAGAGGAGATGAGCATGGGAAATGATCGTCGAGGTGCTGAATTTGAAGGAAGAAGAAGGGAATATGATGAGAGTGCAGATTTTGGTGGAAGAAGAGAGGAATTTCAGCGTCGAGGTGCTGAATTTCAGCGTCGAGGTG